ATTTATGCTTAGAGACAAATTGGAAAATATGAGCTTTGTTAAGCTTCAGTTTCTGAAAGTAAGGCCAAGTTTTCTAATGCTTGGTTTAATGAAAATGTTCCCATTCACTTTGGTAAGAAGAGAATTCTGTCCTATGCTTGTACAAAAAATAAATAGTAGCAATGAGCAAAGCATACTGTTGTATTGATTAGCAGGCTAATCTCATTCAACTGCTTGCATACATTTAGAATGTGGGCATGGCTGAGGCAAAGCTACCTCGGTTTGAAAATGTGGCCCCTTTGAAAGTGGTGGACAGTTTTTTCAAGAATATGTATTGCTACTGAATCTATAAAATATAATGAGTGTTGATCTTATTGCCTATAACAGTGAAGAAAAATACTACAGAGAGAATAGGATTACTACTATTGTTATACTCACAATGGTATTATTAAGGTTAATAAGTGCTGATAATCTCTTACATAAGCAGGGTCTGTATGAGGTCCATCCCCTCTAGAGCTCATCACAGAATTTGGTGCAAATTGGTTGAGGCATCAGGAGGAGTTTCACAGTCAACCAACAAGTGTACTGTAAATGACGATTCAAGTGTTTTGTAAAACTTTTTCTGGCAAGAGTGTGAGGTTGGCATTTGTCAGAAGACCTCTCTAATAGGTGATCCCTAAGAAGATCGGTATATCTGATGTTTGTGATATCTAGATTCCTTTACCTTAATGAGGTATCTGTGTTTCTGTACCCTTGTTTGTTACCTCTGGAGGAGTTTAGATCTTATGTTCTATACATGGCTGATGTAAGCCACATAAGAATGGCAGCTTCATACCCCCAAACTGTTATCTTTTAAATTTTATGACTTTGAATTTCCATCCTGTGAGAGACATTTAAGTGTTATCCTTGTTGTATAGTTGAGAAAGTGAAGCAAAGAGGGCTTATGAATTACGTAATGTTTCTCAGGAAGCCTAAAGCAGATCCAGGAAGAGAATCTAGTTGTCTGATTTCCAGAGTGATGCTTTATTCCTGGGAATTCCTGCCATCCTGTCTTCTTTGCATGACCATTTATTGCAGTTCTGTCAGAAAGGCTGTTTCCATGTAAAATGGAATGTTACTTTTGCAGCCGTGGTGCCAGAATATAGAACAACTAGGCTAAGGTTTTTGGAAGCATGTTGTTTATGAGCGCAACAAAGTCAACTTTGCTCTAAAACTTTTCCCAGAATGTTCTGGCCACAAAAGTAGATTTATAAATGCCAGGTTGTGTTCAAGCCACGCAGAAGTTTGAGGCAATTTAGTCAATACTGGAAATGAAGGAGCAACATCAAGATACAGTGTTTATGTCAGCAAAAGAGTATCGTTAGCTCTACTGTGTTACGAGAGTATTTTCATCTGCATTTCACTGCAAGAGCAAAATTTGACATACATTTGACAGGATTCCGATTGGCAAAAAGTAACATGTTAGCAAGTCAATACCACTGAGACACCAATGTGATATCTGATCTGACAGCAAGACAAATTGTTCCAACTCCCAAAACTACAACAGGAGCTGAAACTAAATTTGTAATTGCATTATATGTCTTCCAGAACATCATATACAGTTGATTTGCTCTCTGTCGTTGACATTCTTTCCTTAATTTCCACCCAAGAATAAATATTATATTTTTTTCCCCAAGAACACTCATAAACAGTATTATTAAACATGTTATTATTTTGGCAGTGTTCTGTGCTGTTAATTATTTTTGAGACCTTTCAGTGTCAGAAATATGCCATTATCTGTATGTCCTGTATAGTTTACCATTCAAAAAACCTCATAATTTGTGAGTCTAGTAGACAGGGACACTTTATACTCTTCCTCCCTATAGTTGAAAGCAAGCAAATACATTTGGCTTGACACTTTGGACAAATTCTCAACACATGGGTATAACTGCCTTAATTTGGTTATGTTGTGTCCTCTTGTAGAGTGTGAATGTTAGGGAGGGATAAGAAGTATAGAAAAACACAAATGCAGGAATGTTTAAAGATGCTAAACAGGACTTGAGTGAATGTAATTGAACTGCTTGCAACTAGGACCATCTCCTGGAGAAACCCAGCAGTCTGGACAGAGCTTTCTGTTCTGTACTGATTTTTTTTGAAACTCCATTTGATTAGGTTTGATGGATTGCTGTGTTGCTTATCCAGTAACAGGAAATCCCTTCATGGTGATATGGTGATGAATGGGTTTCATCATATCCCTCTCCTTCTTTTTCAAATTGCTGCTTTTTTTTTTTTTTTTTTTTCCCTTTCTCTCCCTTTCTTTGTCAGCTGTCCTACCTCTGCTTATTTTTGTGAGCTCTTCTCTCCAGTTGTACCAGTGGTCTGCCAAACATCAGCTACAATGTAGCCAGCAGGTCGAGGGAGGTGATTCTGCCCCTCTGCTCTGCTCTGGTGAGACCTCACCTGGAGCACTGCATCCAGCTCTGGGGCCCTCAGCACAAGGAGGACATGGACCTGCTGGAGCGGGTCCAGAGGAGGGACACCAAAATGATCCGAGGGCTGGAACACCTCTCCTATGAGGCCAGGCTGAGAGAGTTGGGGTTGTTCAGCCTGGAGAAGAGAAGGCTGCGAGAAGACCTTATTGCGGCCTTCCAGTACTTAAAGGGGGCCTACAGGAAAGATGGGGATAGACTTCTTAGCAGGGCATGTAGTGATAGGACAAGAGGTAATGGTTTTAAACTAAAAGTGGGTAGATTTAGACTGGATATATGGAAGAAACATTTTACAATGAGTGTGGTGAGGCACTGGAACAGGTTGCCCGGAGAGGCAGTGGAGGCCCCATCCCTGGCAACATTCAAGGCCAGGTTGGACGGGGCTCTGAGCAACCTGATCTGGTTGAAGCTGTCCCTGCTCGCTGCAGGGGGATTGGACTAGATGACCTCTAAAGGTCCCTTCCAACCCAAACTATTCTATGATTCTATGATACAATGTTGACACACTGTGCAGATTAAACTGGAAACGTATCTTGCATCTTAGACTTCCTTCTGAAAAAAATGCATTTTAGCATAATATGATAAATAAAATTAATGTAATTAAGAAAGTTATAGCTGCACTTTTCAGCCAACTTATATGATACCCGTTATAGATATGCAGGACTTTTTTTTTTTTTTTATCAGTAATGTTTCAGTTTGCTTCACAGCCAAACAACTGATTAGATGCTTAAGAAGACAAAAGAGGCTCTTTGACATAGTTTCCTGGTCCTGACTGAGAGTCATGGTAGTGAATACTGTATGCAAAAATGGCTTTGACTTTCCTCTTTCAACAGGGGTTGCCAGAATTTAATCATTGGCATGAGGTCACAAGGTTTCAATGTTTTATTTACTAAAGTGCCCTTTAACACTTCTGCAGCACAAATAGCAGGCAGTGCCTAGATCTCAGGAGAGCACCACCTTTGTTGTTCGCCATAAAGGGTGAGAGTTCTAATATATTGTTACATTCATTTGCAAGGCAACCTTAGCAGTCCCTTGCCCACTGCAGAAGTCTCTGTTTTGTAGCTGGGTGACAGGGTTATTATGGCAACTTAGCCTACGTCCTGGCTACATTTGGTGCTAGTTTCAGAGAGCTTTTTATCTGCTGCTGTAATTCTGCTGTATTAGCAACATATTTTTGATGTACATGGTTTTATTACATTAATGTTATAACTATACCTTCAGTTAGCACCTCTTACTTTAACATACTGTTTTAATATAGGAAAACCTACTACTATTGCCATAAGTGTGACTCTATTCAGACTTTATACCACTAGCATATGTGTTATGTTATCATCCTATGAGACTGAGTTGTACCAGGCTTGCCTTTGGGATGCAAGGAAATGATCAATTAGGGCCGCAAGACTCTCTTCTGTGATGGTCCTCATGACCAAAAAATGTCAGTGTTACACTACCCTGTGTCATTGCCTAGGTAAACATTTCAACAAAACAGTGAAAGAGATGTGCCTCTAGTGTCTCTGACATTTCCCGGCTCCACAGAGAAAAGGAGCATTACCTTGTAGTCTTCATTAGCAAAAAACATTGAAGGGAAAACTCTCACTCTGGGGCAGACATTAATATTACCTTCCAGAACAGATCCAATGGACCTTCAAACACAAATCTTAGTTCATCCTTTTTGGTGATTCAGACTACTGGGTCAATGTTGGTGTTGTTTGTCAATCTGGTTTTTGTTTGTTTGCTTTTTGTTTTGATGCTAAACAGTACAAAATCAGTATAATGGTAATAGAAACAACTATTTTCTGTTCTTTCTTTCTCTGTGATTTTTTCCCCAATACCATGAGCTTTCAAACATAACTCACTGAAAATGAAAGTGGTTAACCCTGCTTTTGTGCTTAGGTTCCTGCCATCAGCATTGCTCAGGAAACTTCTACAGCCCAAAACAAAGTGGCTCTTATTTCAGGGCTGCACTACTTAACACGACACAGTCATGTTTTATTGTTTAAATTTGCTGCAGTGTGGCGTCAGCACTTACAGAAACAGTTAACCCTGACACCAATGCACATAAAAATAGAAGACAAAGGGAAAAGTGGGCCATAGCAGACTGGTAAGTGGTAGGAATAGTTAATAGGGCTCTGCTGATGGTAACTGTATGGACTGCAAAATATATTATTTCATGCAGCAATGACTGAAGGTACTTCTGCTTGTTAAAGTATTTGTCTAGACATAGAGATTTACATTATAACACTAGAAACTGGATTCTGTCAAGAGATCTAAAACCAGACTGAATTGTTTGAGCCCTTTAGCCACTTTAAATAATACGGTAGTGAAGTCAATAAAATTACACTTGCAGACTACTCCATATGCTTTTGCTTGATTGCTCTGGGATTCATTGTATATTAAGGCTTCATTTTCTAAAAAAAACCCATTACTCTAGGTTACATTAGCTGCACATTTAGCTTGCATGCCCAGTAACAAAAAGACTGCTAAAAGACAACATTATAATTTGTTATTAAAATCTGGGATGGTTTGTTTTTTTTTTTTTTTTTTTCATTACAGATTAATCTCAGAGATCTTGGGCAGCTATATAAAATCCGCATTGGCCATGACAACACTGGAAATGATCCCAGTTGGTACCTGGAGGAAGTCAGACTTGAAAGAGTAGTCCCTCTTTCTGATGAAGAGATTTGTCTCCCCATAGAGTGCTGGCTTGCAGAAGACAAGGGTGAGGGTGATACGTGGAGAGAAGTGGCAATAAGAAACCCTGCAAAGGAGCTTTTGCCATGTACGTGCTCAGTATTTTAGATCATGTGTTCACTAGCTATATTCTGTGATTATATGGCAGCTTTTCATGTTTCTTCCAGGGCAGACTGCCCAAAAGTCAGCATAACCATGAAACAATCCCTTCCAGATAATTTCTAGTTCCACAGAAGTGGGAAGTGATAATTTTAACCCACTGCTTTCCTCCTGAAAAATCAGAATAACAGCTGTGGCCAGGGCATCTGGCCCCTATAAAATTCTTGATCTCCCAGAGTGCCCCTAAATCACTGGCAGATACTGCTTTTTGGAGCAAGACATCAGGCAGGAAATCAAGGCATATCAAGGTATGTAATTTCATGTGACATCCAGTTCCTTTTAGCAAGTTTGATATCACCTTTTCTTGTACTGCATAAAATAGTTTTTACCAAAAATCCATGATCTGAATCATCACACGTGTTTTCCAGATCAGACTCAAGTCACAGCCATTCACACAGAAATTGTTAGCTGCAGGGTGGCACTTTGGTACTTCAAAGTTTACCACAGCTTTGACGCACTTTGTTCTTTTCAAGTGAAGCGGGAAATAGACCATCATATAAAGTTATTATTTAAAAAGTCCTGGACCTCTATGAAGGAAGAGCCAATATAATAATTTAGCATGATGGGGTTTTTTTATAGAATTCTCTTTACATTAATAGAATGACAACAATGCAGCTCATAGACAATACTGTCTGACAGTGGTAGATCTTACACAGATAGGTGCTATCATTCAGGCAAACCGTATTCAAAATGAAGCAATGAATACTGCAAGGAATCACTGATTCAACATAAAAAAGGGTCATCATGCACTTAGTGACAATCAAATAATTTCAGAAGAAAATATCAAACAAGTGAAAAACCTCAACTCAAAAGAATATAATTCTCTGACAAAACCATCAAGACTGGTGATGTGTGAATGTTTTTGATGGGTTTTAAGGCCCAAGGGGACTACTGATCTCTATTACAGAGGCCAGAAGATGCTGAGAAACACACATGTGCCAGCTCACATTTCCTCTTTGCTTTTCTTTTAATTATTCTGCAGAGTATTTAGTGACTTCAAGAGATTTCAAAAACTGGGACTGATCAGGATGAACCAGGCCCTATGACCATTAACATATACCACAGTACCCTATGCCATTTCTTACAGTGACATAAATATTGTGTACTGGTGCAATGGAAAAATAGTGCAGAAGCTAATTAAGTTGTATGAACAATTAATTCAACATCAATTACTCAAATCTGCGTTATGCAGTCTGAAATACCCATTCACAGAAAAGTACTAATATTCTGGTATGTACACTCCATTTATGTACTTGTATGTGAAAAGTCAAGTCAGTTCTATCAAAGGCTGGGAATATGTTTAAAGCAGCACATTTATTTAATTTTAATCATTATATTACTGCATCTTTCCTTGCTTTTGCAGGAACATTATCTTCCTTAAAATACATGTCTCAAGTTTGTAAGGAAAGACACATTAGAAAGGATTTGGATATTTCCTGAAGTTGTAAATTTTACAAATTGATTATTGATTTTAGGCATGTTTAAATTGAACATCAATATAAACTCAGCAAGACCTCCCAAGGATTTCCTATTTATTTTCTCAAGAACAAGCAAATGAAACACTATCCATTTGCATTTCTCATTTAAAAGTTAATTGCTTACAAGTACCAGACAAACCACATCAAGTCCCTTTCTCCAGTAAAACAATGTACTACTTATTACTTAAGTATAATCTGATATGATTTAGTAATTTGTATCCTGTACTTTCAGTTCAATTGGGTATCTTCTAGTGGTATTAATTTGCTTAACTATAAAAATGATGTGCTGGAAACTTTAAACAAAATTAACAAATATAAACTAAGCTCAGAAGGCACTGTTTTTTTAATTGCTGTTCTTTAACACTTACTTTATTGCTCATCTTCTCTCTTAGAGGAAAGGATATTTTTTTTCTTATCCTTTATCTCCCTTTTTCCAGCCAAACTCTACTGTGCACCCAATAGGGACCCAAAACCTTGGAGCTGATTTTTGACTCCTTGTCTTTCTTTTTTCTAGCTTCTGTACCCCATGGTGTCTCTGGCAGCTGGCTGGGACACCTCTCTTCCCTCCAACAGTCAGCTGCTCATGTGGTCTCACCCTCAGAGCCATGGGACTCTGACCCCTGGTCTCACTCCAGTCACTGAGAATTTCACTCCCTCCAGTCTCTCCAGTTGCTGTCATGTGGGACCCCAACTGGGTCCCGGTCCAGTTGCTGGCACTCAGACCCCATACCCACACATACACAGAGAGAGAGAGAACAGGCAGTCCTTCACCTAGGAAAAGAGTTAGAAAGCAACTTAAGAAGAAAATGGGTCAAACTGCACTGATCAGGTGCAGGACACAGCCGGACAACCATACTAACCAGCAAACTGTTAATTGTGTCCAGCCCGCTTGATGCCGTGATCACTCTGTTTTCCCACACTCTTTCCTCCCAAATCACCTAGATCCATCCCTTTCCCTGCCTTTGGTTCCTCCCCTAAGCATCCCATAATAAGTCCTGTGCAATCCTGAAATGCTCTTCCCCTGTGTCCTATATTCTGTTCCACACCCGTAGGCAGCAAACCCCAGCAGTCCGATAGATAATCCAGAACTGATTCATCGCGATGGGTTTCATGCCTGGACACTGGGACCGAGGCTTTCCTGGGACAGCTCTCGTAAGGGCCGGGAGAGGGTGTCCCTTCCTCTGAGCTCTTGATATGGTTCCCACCTGCCCTTGTGTCCCTGTGTTTGTGGTGATGGGCTGATGGCTCCTGTGATGGGTCTGGGAGAAGCCAGAGCAGGGTGTTATCTGGGGTCCCCCCTGCCAATGTCTGTCTATGCTCCTTTGTGAGTGTGCAAAAGACCTTTATCACACAACCTAACATGGGTTGTCTTCAGATATGGGTGAAGTTTTGATCTAAAGTGGTGCATGATATAAGAAGTGTTGAATTTTCCTACTGTTCTGTTTAGGTGAACATAAACTTCAAATGAGAATATAAATGGTGAATTCTGACCCATTCTTGTTCACGTAATTGAAGGAATAACTGTACTGATTTGAGATAAAAGGCAAATATTGAAGCTGAGGCAGGAAAAATTCCAGCTCAAAAGATTAAGATTTCTTTTCCAGTTGGAGAAATGTGCAGGCATATACAGAAAGGTTAGAATGTGCCCACTGTCTGAAATAGTGCAAAAGGTGACCAAAGCAAATAGTAATGACTCAAGCATTATCTCTACAAAATTTGCATCCCTGTTTAATCACTCGGGAGGCACCAGCTACTTAGGTAAATAGTCAAGCTTCTCTTTCCTATTGTAAAACTGATTAGTAAGTGTGTTTTTTCAAAGCTGATCATTTTCTTACATGTTATGAAGACTATTCCCATACATTTTTTAGAATATTGCTCCAAATAGCAGGAGTAAATGGAAGTGGAGATTAGAAAGCCTGAGAACTGTAATTCTAATTTAAATGTCTTCACCTGATAGTGTTTCTGTATTTATGTCTTCTCAAATAATATATGCACCACTTCTGAGGAAGATAGTGCCTCTTAACCACTATCAGCCATTAAGCAATTGTTCCCTTTTAGCCTTAACGCTGCACCAATTTGTATCTTTACCCTTCTGTCATGGCAAAATGCCAAACACTATTTGTGCAAACTGGGTAGTAAATACCAAATGATAAAACCACGTGACAGAGATTCAATCTTGCTGTTTAATTAATCAAGCCAAAATGACCATTTTGTTCAAGCGGGCTCATCATATGGAAAAAAGGCAGAACATGGAGCAGTACTGTGTAATACGGCTCTAATATCTTGGATCGATATCATTAAGGGAGGACTGAATAGAAACAGTTTGACAATTTTAATGTTGTATATCATTTACCATCTCTCTAGGGTTTGTGTTCTTTGGCCAATTTGTCTGTTTACACTAGCGGCCTGATGGGATTGGATTTGCGCAGTGAAGCGGTTGGTGCTAAGGGTCCAATGTCCTCATTATGTGCATTTAGGGGGAAGTTACTCTGGGCTTCTTCTAGTCTGTTCCCATGGACTGACTGCCAATTTGTGGCAAGATCATCATCATTGTGTTCCTGGAACATATCCTCTGGTTTAGTTCCATCCAAAAAGAATCTAGTTTCTTGCTCTAAAACCACTCCATGCTGCAAACCAGAAAGAAGTAAGGAGGGCCAACCAGGGGGTTCAGTTTCTTGATTCAAACTAATGTGCTGTTGTAGGCACACCAGTGTCATTAGGCTCAGACAGCTGTAATGCAGTGGAAGGTTATCTAATGTACTTTGAGTAATAAGTGATAAGTATATTTATCTTTAATTCATCTGCTCTTGACTAGAATTCTAAAATAATGACTGTACTTTTCTTTTAGTAGAATTACTTTGAAAAGAACTGACAATGGGACAGTAGTTTATACTAAGTAGAAAAAGACCAATATTTCTGCAGTGAAAACTTCCATTTTCTTATTCTCACCAATAAATTCTTTAATTTTATTAGGATTATTTTCTTCTCCCAAAACATATCAAAATATTAACTTAGCCTTTAATGCAAAGCAACCTGTGATGTTTGCTTACTGTTTATATTTTCCAAAGGAAAATGTCATAAGTCACTGAATTCTGTACATTACTCCTTCATAAGGAAAAGAGAATTATATACTATGCTTGCAGATTGGGGCCAACCTAACTCTTACCGTTGGTGAATGATCAGGAATATACCAACCTTCTGTATTGGAAACCCTGATTCAGGTACCCAGAATAAGTCATCTGGAGAAAAGGGTTCTCTAACTTCTATTCTGTTGCCCTTAGCATGCCCTTAGGTTACCTTTTCTTCATAATCAGAGAAACAAAACTTCCTTTCTCTCTTTCCCATAGTTCATGTTCTCATGTTATCAATAGATGCCAGAAGCTGGAGTTGTGGTTTAAAAAAACACCTGAAGTCTTATGATAACGTCTCAAGAGGTAGCAGTAGCAGTATTTTTATGGACTGAGCAAGTATAAATTTGGTTTGTGTACACTTGACTGCTCAGTGACTCCTATAGTAGTTTTGATACTTTTGATATGCCATTTTTTAACATAGTCATTATACTGCTTTAATGTCTGTCTTTCATGGAGCCTTTTAGAAGCTCCCTACCTCTGCCTGAAAACATTTTGCCTCCCTTTTTTCAACTGTTTCATCCATGCATCCATGTCCCAATGTTTTCTGTTTGATTATAGAGCTTATCTAAAGTTACTCTGTTAGCAATTTGAAGATTTCAATCACCTATTTTCTGAAAGGTCATTTTCTTTTTTAGTGAGTGCTAGCTGAGATTTTTTCCTGCTATTTTGTATTAATTAATCCTCTTATATCCTTTATCAAAGATACTGTATTTTTCAAGATGTTTCTTCTATTACTTTGATGTGCCCCACGGTAGATGGACGCTTAGAAGTGAGTCTAACAGGTCCCTCATAATGCTGAAACAATATTCCCTGACTTTTGTTCAGTGGTTGGTTTTATTATGTAATTTTCAAATTTTTCTTTCCTTTTTTTTGCCTATCGGCCTATCTCTCTGCTTTCTCACCCCAGTTTTCAGCTGGTATAGTTGCACTAAATCAGCGTATAGTAAAATGAAATTGCTACTACAGAATAGAGGATCAGGCCATAGAGTTCCAATTCTCAGAGTTTTTAGATGGCTTTTTCTTACTGCAATGAAGCAGGTCTCCATTTCAGATGTGACAGCAGTGGGGGCCTTAGAGTAGGTAAGTTTCTCAAAGGAAATTAAACCGGAGTCACAGAGGCTGAACATATTTTCTAGGGTCTTTTTATTTTACTCTGTACACAAAAAAATGTGTTTTGTGAACAATATACAGAAAGCTACAAACAGGCAACTTTCACATATGGTGAGCCTTGCTGTCTCCGCAGTACATTGGACTGGTAGGTTCATTCTCTGGATTTGGTTGTATCTGTCCCCTGTGCTCATCAAACTACCAGGGCACCTTGTCTTATCTGTTAGAGTGGCATCAGCCATCTTGTTCTTATATTTAAACAATACATAGCTCAGCAGCCATTAGCACTAGCACCTTTTGTAACTGTTCTATAATCTAGAGGAACTGCTTGACAAAGTTTGAAAAAATTGCATTCACTCGAGCTGATCTGAGCCTAGGTTTCCATTTGCATAAAAAGGCTTAGCCTCCACAATCTATTTAGTGAATGTTTATATGAATGTCCAAACATTTCTTCATAGAGGTGTGTTCTAAGCAGGCAGTTACACAGTGTTTTTGAGAATATTTTTGTTGCTTGATTTTTTGTGTGTTTCCTAGGAAGTGCATTGTAACATATACTCAAGGGAAATGAACGTTCCATTTATTATCCTAATATAAAAGCCCGTATTGTTAATCTGTACAAAAATTTAAAGCACAAACTGGTCTTTTTGTTAAGAAGGTTCCTTTATAAATAATGCAGATTGTGTAGCCTAAATAAATGCCAGACCTAACATTTTCCAGATGGTGAGAGATGTATAGACACAAGGAGCTATGGAAAATATTTTCCAGTTCTTTACATTTCAACATGTGCATGTTTTCTACTTCAGACTGATTTATTTAGGCTTGTAGCAATAGAAAGCTGTATTTGATTAGATCATTATCATCTCTCTGGTTACCACAGAGATGCACAGTGCTACAAAAAGAACTGTCATTTATTTATTTGTTAATATCTTTGTGTTGTGTTATAATTATCTCTTATTCTGTTCTGGTGTGTCCTGTACTTAATCCATTTGGTTTGGTGTCCCTACAGAAATGAAAGAACTTGTTGGCATTTTATTCTTGTATTCATTTATTGATAAAGAGCTTCTTTAAAAAAAATCCTTGAATACACTTTAAAATTGTGCTTATAGTTACTTAAATTTTGCAGTTTTGATCATGGGAATTACTTGTAGGTGTGAGTAATACAGATGCCAGTCTTTGTATATAAACAGTCATAAACAGTCTATACCCTTTCCTTAGCTCCCACAGATGTTTTTTTCAAAACTGGGAATGTTAGTAAGAATATAAAAGTGTGGAGAAGACTTCATGTTTATATGTCCCTGCTTTTACTAATCCCCAGTGCATTGCTCCATGGGTAGTCTGGCCCTATTATTCAAATGGCTGGTCACAGATGAATATAGTTGTTAGGTTTTTCTTTTGGAAATGTGACCTCTCTCCTTCCACACTCAAGAATTTGCCCCTCTGTGATCAGTGTGGCTCTTTGCTTTGTTGCACATTTCCTTTCATAGTTTGCTGTCACCTCTTATCCTCTGTCCTTTGAACAGTTTCTTGTTTGTCTTGTATTCTCCTGTTGCTAATCTGCACACAGTTATGATTATACTAAAACTTGTGATATAAAATGTTGTTTGGATATATAGCTTAGTTATGCTAGTTATCAGATCCATTTATCTTTGTTACTTGCCATCCATATCTACCATTTGTTTTAACATGATATTTTTATGTCAGAAACCTTGAATCTAGTTTTATTGAATCTATTTTTTTTAAAAGAAGTTTTCATATCTGGATAATTATAAAGATAGTATTAGTGTGGTGGAAAAGTTATTAATACAGTAATTCTGAATTATATTCCAGAATTCTTTGAAGCTAAGTGTACATTTTTCATCTATAAGACTTTGGTCTAGACTAGAAAAAGAGGCATTAAAAAGTTGTAAATATATTTTAAGTGAGAGCTGTTTTTAAAAGTGTTAGCATCCACTAGTGACAAATGTTGAAACCTTCAGAAACAAGTTGAGTGTGCACTTTTTATAGATGAGGGAGCACATTTATGTGCTTGCCTACCATTGTATGTGAGGTGAAAATCTAAAAACCCTAGGATTCATGATTGCTATTCTCCTTTTAAGATGAAATGAAGGTTAGCCACCCAGAAAATTTTGTTTTGCACAAATCTGGAGGTTGAAAATGCCTTGGTACCAGGGACATATAGCTATTGTTTGAGACCATGACTAGGCACAGTTAGGTGGTCTCCAGATAACTTGCCAAGAAAGACTTGGCAAATTAGGTCCTGAAATCGTAAATACTCAACAGGGAATGAGGGAAGAAAATGGAGCACTAGGGAACACTAGCCTGATGGGTTGCTTTCCTGAGCAAGGCACAGCTATACTCAGCATAATGGATTTTTTTAAGCTTTGTATTTTTGTGCAGAGAATGACAAGATTTGAACCTGGAAGTGACAAATGCATGGATAGCTGTTGCTACTTCCAAACTTGAAAGTCAGTACAGTCTTCTGGCAAAATTTTCATGGGAAAGCTTTTGAATCATGTGCAAACTACAGGGATAATCTCAAGCTTTTTCTTCTTCTAGTGTTGGTGTATGAGGTCCATGTATACACTGGCGCTAAACTTGGTGCTGAAACAGATTCTAATGTTTATATCAACCTCATTGGGACAAGAGGAGATGCTGGCAAAAGGAAGCTCCATAGATCTAAGAATAATAATGTAAAATTTCAACATGGACAGGTGAAGTAAAAACAATGCTACTTCTGATCAATAAGAGTAAATTATGGCTAGCAAACTGTTTCTCCAACAAGTGTAAATATCTTTTTATTTACAAGTTTTATTCAAGCAGTTCGCCATTTTCTCACGTATTTTCTTTATTCAAAATTACCTACAGAATTACATCATATGAATAATTTTTATCAGATGGATCAATCATTTACTGAGAGCATTGCATAGTAGAATCTGAGTACTCTTGGTTATTTGTATTGCACATATAGATAAAATGGTAACAGATTTTTGTTCTCCTGAACAGATCACCATGAATTTTAGAATCAAGTTCTAAATCCTTATTCCCAAGTATGTTTTCCAGTCTTGGTGAGGCAGATAGGGCTAGAAAATGTGCTACAGAGATGACCAAATAATTCTTTGCAACTGGTCCTTGTGTCATGCCAAAGGAATTGAGTGCTGTCTCTGTGGAGTAATTTTAAAGTGTTACTCACCTTGGAAAGCTTCAAAAGAGCCTCACTGACTGACCAGGACCGATATAAGACACTTATATTCATTCTGAAAAAGCAAAAAGAGAAAAAATAAACTATTCTATACTGTTACAGACAAAGCAATAGCTGTGTTCAAGACCTTTATCATTTTCCTTGTATGGTTCCACAGATGGATATTTTCTGCATAAAGGCTGTCTCACTGGGAGACTTGGAGAAAGTTCTGATTAGCCATGATGGAGCCGGTCCAGGTAGGATTTAACTTCCTAGAGACCAATCTGTTTTCAAGTCCTTTTTAAACACAATGCACTTTATTTATATTGCATCCTTCATAGAAAATGTGACAGAAGGTCTTGCAGTGATAAAAGTCTTCCCACAGACTAGTCACTGTGATGGGACGGTGAAAAGCAGTGGTAATAGACAGCAAAAAGAACACGAGTTTAATGTCAAATACTGTCATTCCACTATTTGTTTTCAAGTTTATTTATAAGAAAGCTCTATTTATTTGCATATAGAAAACTCATGAAATCTTTGCTCACAGAGGTAAAACAATCCTTATTAGACAAAGAGTCAAGACTGGCCAGGATAGAATTAAAGATATTCAACACCTCCTTTACTACCAAACAAATTTTGAGTAGTTATAGCATAATGTCCTTGCTGCTTTGGGCAGCAGTAGAATATTTGGTTATTTATTTAATCTGTGCAAGTGAATGTGGAGCTGCTCCAGTGAGTGACATTGCATTCAGCTTGTAGGTTTTTCAGAAAAAAAGGAGATAATTTTGTGATGAGACAAATTTTTAATACAGGCCCTTGAGATGTACATCTCTGCAATGATGTAAATGAAGAGAAAACTAGCATTTAAAAGCACTGAAAATGTAAATACTGCAGATATGTTTGCAGATTAGCGGCTATGAAGAAGCCAAGTGAAGAGAATTTTTAAACCAGTTCAGGGCCACACTGATACTAGATGAGAAAAGCACTTTAACCCTACTCTGTTCTGAAATGGCCTCAAGCAACACCCATCTTGCTGACTGGCTGTACTGTCTAAGGCTCTGAGCAGACTTGTGACTATTACAGAAGTAGGCTTATTAAGTGCAGCCTTAGTATGGGAAGTAAACTTGATTCTTGTATCTTTGTAGTTCTCTAGAGTTTGCTGCATTCAGCAATATGGATGACCGTATATCTGAGTTTCACATCCTAGTAGGCCAAGACATAGCACAGAAGGCAGTGTGGGGGAGCCTACCTTCACTCTATCCCCCAGGACACCATATCATGCTCTCTTCCCTCATCTCTCCTCTAACAGGCAGCATAGCCATATCACAGGATCAGCATTACAAATCTGCAACCAGACTCAGCTATCTTCAGCTGTTCTTTGATAAAGGAGTTCAAAATCTGTGGTTTTGGAGGATTGTCTAAACAGGACAATGGATCGAATGCTGTGAATAACAAAATTTATGCCTCGATAATTAAGATGGTTGTTTATTGTACTCAGTACAGACAGATGTCACAGAACTCTTTTGAACTGTATCCAAAACTGGCCCCAGATAAACCTGGCCTGAGGTGACCAGGGAGGTTGAGAGCTGGAAAAGGATGGTGAGTCAGGAGAGAAGCCATCTAGAGACCCCATCTTTTGGGGGTTGAGAGGCAGGAAAGAGGGTTCCTTCAGAGGTGGGGCTGCCCTTTTTTCTAATCATATTGTTTGCCTGAGTGATAGGGCAGAAGGTCTTTCATCTTGATTTGGAGACTGTCTTGAAGGGATCATGGAACATGTGCTTTCTTTGAGGCTCCTAGACTGCAAGGCACAGATCTCCCACAGCCACTGTGTAGGAGGCAAGAAAAGGAATTTTGTCCAAGTCGGCAGGGTTTTGGCATCGGTCAGGTGTGAGTCACTAGATGATGTGTCTTATCTGCTGAAAGAACCTTCTCCTCCATAGAAACCTTCCATACAAGCCCTGTACATTTACACAAGCAGCACCTTTCATCTTTTTTGGCCTGTTTCAAAGTGCCCTGCCTGATTTCTGGTGAATCTTGGCCAGGCTAGTAGGATCCTTCCAAGCAAAGAGCATCTGAGGTATAAGAGGGTGACAGAAGAAGCTTGCAGGGTGTCCTAATGTGCCCTGGGCCTGAAGTCTTGAAAGGGAAATGCCATTCTGCTCCATGCACTGCCTGCGCAAGCCCTCCCTATGGGGCAAAGACTGCTGCCTTCTAGGGACTTCCAGACTCAGATGCAGCCAGGGAGGCAGAGCATGAGAATAAATAGGACAGTCGTCTGCTTCTGACCAAAACATCCCTCATGCTGTTTTGCTACAATGTGCTGATAAATAATGGTATGAATCAGGCAAAACCTCGTAAGCAATGTGACAAGTTGTGAGTGGTGCAGACACAGTGAGAACAGGGTATTTGAAAAGGGCTTTCCAGGAGAACTGTACCAGTCACTAGGATGGTTATTGGAAGTGATCTAAGAGATCAGCATGGATGTGGCCGTGGTTACTGCTGTTCGGGAGAGGATGAATTCAGTAGCCCAACAGAAGTGGGGCTGCACAGCTCCCATGCCTGCCAGTCCCACTAGTAGCAGGGCAGAGTAAGTGTTCCCAGTAGGTACACACAGAAATACATTTATAAAACATATATGTATGCACACAGCTGGCCACACAGATCAACACAGACAGGAACTCAGCACTCGCACAAACACAAACAGCACCAATGGCCTTATGCTGCTACCCTGTCCTGGTTTCGGCTGGGATAGAGTTAATTTTCTTCCTAGTAGCAGGCATAGTGCTGTTTTGGATTTAGTAGGAGAAGAATGTTGATAACACGCTGAGGTTTTAGTTGTTGCTAAGTACTGCTTATGCTAGTCAAGGACTTTTCAGCTTCCTATGCTCTGCCAGGTGCACAAGAACCTGGGAGGGGGCACAGCCAGAATAGTTGATCCAAACTGGCCAAAGGGCTGTTCCATACCATATGACGTCATGCTCAGTGGGTGGGGTTGGCTGGGGAGCAGCGATCGCTGCTTGGGAACTGTCTGGGTATCGGTCGGCGGGTGGTGAGCAATTGCATTGTGCATCACTTGCTTCGTGTATCATTATTATTATTATCATTATTATACTGTTACTATTAGCATTACTATTTTACTTTATTTCAATTATTAAACTGTTCTTATGTCAACCCAGGAGTATTTTTCACTCTTACTCCTCCAATTCTCTCCCCCATCCCACTGGGGCAGGGGGAGTGAGCGAGCAGCTGCGTGGTGCTTAGTTGCTGGCTGGGGCTAAACCACGACATACCCTCTCTAGCTGATCAGAATGACAGTCCATCAATGGCAAATATGTACATATATATGAAGTATGGATGTATAAGGCCTCCAGTAGCTGGCCTTAGACATTAAGTCTATCCAGTCGCTGGCCCTGGGTCCTTAGATCCTCAGTTTTCCCAGTTGCTGGCACTTAGACATAAAAAGCTCCTGCAAGGCTGCAGCCCCAGTCCTTTTGCAAATGACACAGTAGGCTTAATGATTTGTTAATGAATACTCTTATATATGCAATAACAACTTCACTCAGAGAAGACCAAAATTTCCAGCTTTTACACAGATCTCAGGTAACTGCATAAACAGATTTGTCCCAACATCCTCGTGCCTGATCACTAGGTATCAGAAGATGTACGCTGGGATGTGAATGTGGCAGTTCACATATGTATGAATATGCTTGTCTCCAAGGAAAAAAAAAACCACCCCTCTTAAAATTAAAACAAAGCAAGGCAGAGAAGAATTAACATTGTACTTCTTGCGAGAGACACAGAATAATAAAGCTTTCATTCTGTCAATATATCATCTATTTAGCTGAGTTCTGTCTTAATATGACCTGTGTTTCTGCTGGAAAAAGATAATCTGGGCTTTTTTCTTTAAATTTATTTAAAATTTGCATTATTTCACGATAAACTTTTGTCATTTCAACACAGGCAAAGGATGGTTCCTGGATAAGATTGTCATCAAACATAAAGAAGGAAAGGAAGCTCAGGAGGTTGTATTTCCTTGTAACAGGTATGCCGTTCATGGAGAAAAAGAATTTCTTACACTGCCAACAACCTAAGGAAAAAATTGCAGAACAGGCATGTGCACACAACCTAGATATATGAGCAATGCCCGAGTTTTTCAACATACAAGGGGTACAAAATTTTGCCGTTGAAGACAAAGAACAAAGTTGCTGTATTGGTACAGGAGGGAGTCATAGCTTAATGCCCAAAATCAAATGTTGCATAGGAAAAAAGGTGCATTGATTTGTCTTTTATCTAAAATATACAGAGACCACATGAAAGTAAATAAACTTTCCATTCTCAATCTTTTAAAAAGTATTATGTGTAAAGATCTATCTGTACTGTTTTGGTCAGTTTCTCTTTCTCAGTCACTGAAAACCTTATACACATCCTGGAAATCTTTGGAAAGACCTGTAAATTTTCTACTAAAGGAGAGCTACAATATTTCCTTTCATTTAGTAAATGTCTACTTGTCTGTCTTACTAGGTCTAGAATTTTGCTGCCATGGACAAAATTGGTAAATGCTTTACTGTCTCAGTTCTAACAATTACTAAACAGCCTATTTTTCCAAATTTTTTATTACCTGAGGCAACTGCATTCTGAACTTTTAGCAGTCATCGAGTTGAATCATATGGATTTAACAGAAAAAACACATAAAATAAGCCAATAGATGAAAGTAAGGATTTGTGTGTGTTATTTCTATATTAGTATATTTAATACAATAGAAATGATTTGAAGAACTGTAATTTAGAATCAGCTAATTATATTCTGTAGTACGTAGTTTCTGGAATCTATGAGTTTGGGTTACAAGGCTGAAATAGTTTCCATGTTATCTTGGGAACTGTGCCTTAAAGTCTTGAAAATCTTTAGGGGTTCAGTAAAGACAGCTCTCCTCTAGGAACCCTACCTCTTTACAAAAACAAGTGTTTCAGTTTGCAAGGTTCCTGGAAATGACTAGCTAAGAACCATTTACTCATAACTATTATTCCAAAGATCAGGTTTTTGGTTTAGTTTTCCTTTTTGGCTATTAGGTTTTTTGATTGGTTTGGTGTGCATTTAAGATGGTTATTGAAAGAGTAGATGAATGAGACAATTGTTTCTTTAATTACAGGGAGATTTTATGAGACTTCTTTAAAGGCTATTTAATGAAGACACTTGGACTCTCTATAAAACTGCCTTGTCAAAAAAAAATTACTAAGCTCTTAGAAAAAGATTAGAGACATTATATATAGAACTAGAGGAGTCCTGTCATTGGTTGCCTGCAGTGTAAGTGTGCTGCCAATGTGTCAAAGTGTACATTCTGGTTTTAGAAACTGCTACTGATCTTTTGTTTCTTAGGACTGAATGAGGAGATAGCTCACAAAAGTTAATCAAGCTATTTATTGCAACAATAGTTGACATACAGTGGAGTTCAGATTTCAACCAAGTGAGATTTATTCATAGAGCTTTGTTATATACAAGAAGTTAAATATATTATGGACCCTTGCGTTTAAACAAATGCAACATCAACATGGAGCCAATAGAAGTTGGTAGTGAGCATGTATTTATTTATTTTTAAATAAGTGAGATTGTTAAAGGTTGTAAAGTGTTATTATATCAGCAAGGGGGATCAACTGAAGGAGTATGGATGTATGTTTGTAGTGAAATTATATTGCAGGAAAGATCCTTAAATTCATCAGTATAAAAGAAAAGGAAAGTAAAAAGAGAAGTTCAGTTCATTGCTGCACATCTACAGAAGCTTTAGAAACTTCCAGACTTGCAGGGGTTATATATCATTTTAAGTACAATGAATATAACTAACTACTGCAGGTTATATAACCCCCCCAAATGTACAGTTTAGTCTCTGATCCTGTAAATACTTAGTGTTTCATATAATGTGCTTCATATAGCACTATAGTACTTCATACAGCTACCATGAAAATTCCTATTTGCCTGGAGCAGAATGAGCCAAATTCTCCTAATATGAATAAGACCAACTATGATGAATGTATAAAAGAAAATTCAATCTAGGAAGTAGTTTCAAGGCATAATTTGATAAAAAAGTATTAAAAAAATACTGTTGGAGACAGAAGGTAATTGTCAGATTACTTTTGATATACTGATAATTGTTATTAATCTTATTGTTTTTGTTTTTGCAATGAAAGATGGTTAGATGAATATCAAGATGATGGGAAAACTGAGAGGGAGCTAACTGCCAATAGTAAGTATTTTGTAAAAGAAAATTAATGTTATAACAATATAGTATATACTTAATGCCTAGCTATTACTGAAGAACCTTTCTGAATAAGATGGTAACTTAAGAAGAAAGATAATAAAGCTTGTTCACATACATTTTTTCTGTTCATATTTTAGAGGATGGCAATTCAAAAAAAACATTCCTTAAAGGTAAGAGGTTTTTTCTACACCACTGTTTTTGCTGTTTGAATTTAATCTGCAAATCAGTTTTAAGTGACAAATATGTAAGAAAGTGACCTCATTGTATATGTAAACTATTGACTGTGAGAGAAAATTAAGACAAACTGGCTGGCAGTGGTCTACAGAAAGGACTAGGCCTTTATAAGTAATTGAGAAAAACATGCTGCTCATAAACTATTTCTGATTTTCTTCATATTTCTACTGTTCTGTCCTCAAATCAGCCAGGAATTCCTCTGAGAAGAGATTCAAGTGTTGTTTTGTTTATCCCAATGTCACTGTCATTTAACACATGGGAACAGGTCCCCTAGAAAATGTCATCAAGTTGAAAAATATGTTGTGAAGTGTCAGTGGAAGCATTTTCAGGTCAAAATCCATCAGGGTATTCCCGAAGTAGCCAGAAATAATGCAGGCTTAAACTCCAAATCCGTTAGTGAAACTAAATGTAGTATGTGCATTCAGTTGACTAAATCTGCTTGAATTAGTAAAAAGATTTTAATAAAAACCTACCCACCCAGCTGTCTGTTTTTATACCTACAAAGACAGACCCATCACTGTAATACACTAGTACCTCCAAAGTGTTTAAAATTTGAGATACTATCACTGTGTTTCTCCCTAACCAGAAAAGGGAAACAGACTGACACAAGTATCTTTATGAACATTTAATTGTAAATGTATATTGTGTGTAACTGTGTCTGGGAACTGTATGGGAGAAACTAAAGTAAAAAAAGTAATGTTTACATTTGGCTCTGGAAACAGCGACTTGCCTTCTGTAGCGTGAGTCTTGATCTCTCGATCTAATTCCAATTTCAGTGAAAATTAAATAACTTGCATTCAATCAAACAGTTTAGCCAACAGCTTTATTGTTCCATGGCAACATAACTTTGACAAGAGGAGACTGATTAATTCAGGTAAGTAAAGACTTTCCCACAGAGAAATTTGATTTTCACAAGAATTACTTGGAATTGGATTCTGCATTCTGCTAAGTGCACAGTTCAGAGATGCAGCCATAATATCTATTTCACCTTATGTTCAGAAAATAAACTATATTTTACTACTAATCTAAGTTCTTTTCCAGTGCAGCTTGATTCTTTATTGTGCTATAATAAACAGGCACAGATGTACAGACTGCTGAGAGCCTCTGTGTGTCAAGCGTGGTTAGACACCATATATTGATTATGAGGAGAAAGGAAAGGCTTATTATTAATAATTTTGTGAAACGTCACACTGTCAGGATGTCCAGGAGGACCCAAAGACTGTGTTCTGTTTCTTACGTTGACATCAGACGTTCTGAATAATGAAGATATAAAGGAGATGAACATTTTTAGGAACTATTCTGTCAATTAGCTATGCGTGAGCTTAGCTTGAATTGCTTTTAGCCATCTTTTCTTTATCCAGGGGCTCATTCCAGTGAGGAACTGAGATAGGTGAGAGATCATGCTTTTATGCCTTGCGTAAAAAAAGATGATGAGCAGGACTGATCTCAGGATTGTTCACAGTTTAATTTGTGGTGTTGTACTGGTTATCTTACAGATCTTGCATGTGAAAAGATTGAGCTTTATAGGAGGGTAACAATCAGAAGAGGTTTGGAAAGGGGTCTTGTACTCAGTTCTGTGTCAATCCATCATGACATAGTACCAGGATTAGAGCTGATAAGAGAAAATTCCAGATGCAGAGTCTTGGAAGAAAAAGTAATTGCCTTAAATTCTCCCAGCAGCTGTAGCTGTGAAGATTTCACATTGTACAGCAGATAGTAGCGATAAACAGTCCCACTCACAATGGAAGTCAAAACTTTCCATATAATATACATTTACTAAATAAGAGGCAAGCAGCAGTATTGATGTTAGGGAGCCAATGTTTTATGCATTCATGTGGTCATATTCTATATGAGCTGCACTCTGCAAGTGGGCTTCAGGGAAAGTCACAAAAAGTTGACTGGCATAATTCAGTGGTGTTTGGTGATTTTCAGAAGATCAATGTGCTTAGGTAAGGTCTATAACAAAGGTTACAAAACAAAACAGTAAGTCACTCCGAAGGTCAGAAACCCCATTCTCTTTGAATAAAGCTAGTAAGATGTTCAACCACCTAGCCATAGAAGAGAGTTTGGAAGTCATCGTTGCTAAGCAGGTTACTTGAAGGATCTCAGTCCTTCAGCCAGGCTGGCATTGTGCCAGCTTTAACGAAGCATAAATCCCAGATCCCTGTGAACACTGCTGCTGGCTATGGATTCTGCCAAAATGCAGTATGCCTATATCAAGTTTTCCCAGCAACTTTTGTACATCTGTAGATTACTGAGAAGCTCTGGCAAATCAAGCATAGGGACAGATTTATTTCTATTCTCTTGATTCTGCCTTGTGTGTTTGATGCAAGATAAAAAGACAAAAGGGATTTCCTTGGTAGAGAAGGTGGATAGCTGCTCTCAGCTCTCAAACGAATAAGTTGTTTTGAGGGAGAATGGGACTTTATGTCACTCTATAAATGTTTCCTACATTGTGGGGAAATTTTACTACTCCCTCCTTCCATATTCTCTTTTCCTTTCCTGCCTCAAAATAGGTGGAGTATTGTAATAGCACATAGTAAAAGATTTTCTCTCAAAGCAAGGAGACAAGACCTAGTATATTCCAATGTTGTCCACACTGCAGTTAGTTAAAAGGAGCTGGGTTGCTGTAATGTGGTTCCTGTAGGGTGCTGACCTGGTTTCAGCTGGGATAGAGTTAATTTTCTTCCTAGTAGCTAGCACAGTGCTGTGTTTTGGGTTTAGTATGAGAACAGAACACTGATGTTTTAGTTGTTGCTAAGTACTGCTTACATTAGTCAAGGACTTTTCAGCTTCCCATGCTCTGTCAGGTGCACAAGAAGCTGTGAGAGGGCACAGCCAAGGCAGCTGACCCAAATTGACCAAAGGACTATTCCACACCATATGATGTCATGCTCAGTATATAAATGGGGGGAGTTGGCCAGGGGCGTTGATTGCTGTTCAGGGACTGGCTGGATATTGGTAGGTGGGTGGCAAGTGGTTGCATCACTTGTTTTTCCTGGGTTTTGTTTCTCCATTTGTTCTCCTTTTAATGACAATAACACCACCAATAATAATTATTATTATTGTTTTATTTCAATTATTAAACTGTTCTTAACCCACAAGTTTTCTTACTTTTGCTCTTCTGATTCTTTCCTCCATCCCACCAGGGAGGGAGGGTGAGTGAGCGGCTGTGTGGTGCTTGGTTGCTGACAGGGGCTAAACCACAATAGGTGCTCTGTAGCATTGTGGACCTTTGAGAGTGGTGTATAAAATACGGTTCAACATAGATGAACAGAGGTCAATTAATAGATATTTCTAGGTTGGCTCTTCTTGTGTTGTGCAAGGTTGTTGGTATTAAGGTATATAGCAAATTAGTAAGAAAAGAGAAAATATGCAGTAAATTCTCCCATGACTTCCTTTGTTCTTAAATTATTCCCTACCTTGCCAGTATTTGCTAATGGGGTAAGAATAATCACAGAATTCCCAAATTGTAAATGGATTGTTCCTGCTTCTAAAAAACAATGACAGTATATATTGCCAGGTGGAAGCTGAATTTCCTAAGAAAATAAAATAAGCAGACTGACTGCTCTGCCTCAAGGCAACGCAAATTTCTACAATCTCTGGGAAGTAAGCAACCTGCTCCTACATCTAGCAAAGTTTGAATGGCATTCTAGATCTTAAGACCAAAACCCACCAGAGTAAAAAAACTGGAATAATGTATTGTAAAAACAGTGGTGACAACCCTCTAAAACCATATAAATTGATCATATTTTAAAAACAGAAAAAAGCCTTTTTATTTTTTTCAGTTTTCTGAATTATATTACACAATGTTGACTTTCTGTTTTACCTTGCCCAGTTTGCTATGTGCAGAAGTCATTGCAGGTTTGATTTTCACAGTTTTGCTGCAAGCATCTTTCAGGTTCCAAACTAGTCATTAAAAGACTTTCTAGAAGAAAAAGGGCCCCTGCTTCTAATGTATTTCTGAATACATCCTTGTAATGTGAAATCAGATCCTTGGTTATATTATTTTAGAAAAGAAAAAAATCAGTGAATTTTTCCACAGAAGTGTATTTTCTCCCCACCATTCATTTCAGCAGTCATCATACTGATGTCTCAAAGAAAATGGCTGTAGCTTTATACATAAGCTAAAAGTACAATAATACACTAGCACACTAGTCACTTTGAAAGAAAGCTCACACAGTTTAGTAATAACAGGGGAAAAGTCTCTTTTTTTAATGTGGCCATGCATATGAAACATGGAAGATGACCTACTCAAGCCCAGCTATCCAATTTTCAGAACTTACTGATGATTTCAGAATATCTTGAACAGAGATACAGAAATCACTGAACACAATAGGTATTTGGCATCAGTCTCCTGTCTGGTGTCACCATCCTCACCAAGTAGCTGTCTAAGTGAATATAATATTAGACAAAACATTTTTTTCTTATTCTGGCATGAGCAGGTTGAATGAATTTGCTGAACTGACAGAAAATGCAGTCAATATGGGTTAGCTCAGTTACAGAATTGTAGAAGCATTAAAAGTAAATGTAGGAGAACAAACAGTCACAGATGCTAAGAGGCCTTAAATCTGTTAACCACTGATTTATTCCCTGGAAAACTCCCAACTGGTGTCTTAGTCTTTCTTCTGAAATAATAATTAAAAACACAATCATGGATATTAATTAAAATAAATCACCTTGCCTGAAATACCTTCTCTAAACATGCTGCCTTTTTGAGCAAGGAACAGGCAGTTATGCATCTGTGCTTTCTCTTAACTTAGGGCTTGCTCTCTCCTGAAGCAGAGGGATATTACAGAGAGAAAAAAAAAAGCTCACATGGGAAATACAGTAACGCAAAATTATCTTAATTTCCCCTCTGCTGTGTTCCTGGGACAGCCTTCAAAATGAGGCATGATTGGAGAGGATAAGAGGTTCAGGGCTATGTTGGGAGTCTTTGTAAAAATTTGAATCTGCTCATAAACCCTTGGAGTGCTCAGGAACAGCAGGAGCTCAAACGATGCTTGACTTCACCAAGTGTGACACCCTGAAGGGTACCACATGCCAACCTGGCACAAGAAGATAAAATTCAAGGCTGGCACATATATCAAACAACAAAAGTTCCTCATTAGGCAAAGTGTGGATCTTCCACGTACTACATCTGACTCATTCCTGGAAATGACCTCAAAAAAGAGTTCAGATGGAAGGAACCTTTCAGCTAGTGTGTTACTCAGCAGACTGACTGTGAGATGTGTATTTGCCTGCTGTTTTATAGCTGAGCCCAGAAGAGTCAGGGAACAGTCACATGTAATGCAGAAAAAGCTTCTATAACAAGGGGGAAACCAGAATTAGCTAAAGAAAACTGTGAAAAACAGGGGAAAAATCATAAATAAAGAAAACCAGATCAGATTTTCACCCAATCTCCATCTCCAAGCAGGTGGAGGAAAACAAAAGGTATGAAAAAAGTACACAGTACTGTAAGAAAAAGAATCACATCCAATTTATTTCTGAGTTAAACTATTCTAAAATTTATTTTGTCAGCACATTGCAATGTGGGCTTGCACACAATCATGAAATAGTTCTCCTTTATGTTAATCCCATTAGTAAATTATTATATTATCACAGGACTGGTCACAGTCTAAACAGGTTTTTGATTTCCTTCCACTGTTAAGTTCCCCCTGCCATGAAGGATCAAGTGTCTTTGCTACAAATAGTTCCTTTGAATTCAGGGGGAAGATTCATATTCAAGCAGTTAAGTAACTTTCTAATCTACACTGTCCATCTAAGACAGGATTTTTTCCATACCTGCAATGGTTTTCTGTAGCTTCTTGGTTGCATTCTGGACTTCAAACTTTGTTATGAGTACAAGTCACCTACCAAAAAGGATCTCTGAAAGGCCCAAGCCATGAGCTGAGGTCAGTGCAAACACTTCTTTGGAATTCCCTAATTTTGGATTCAACCCTAATGAATGATCTGATTTGACAAAGGATGAGACTGATCATGGAAAATTAGGTTAGAAAAATCTGAGAAAATGTGTTTAAATTTCATTGTTTAACTAGTTGTGTATTAGCCAGCAGTTCTTACAAATGGATCACATACAAGTCTTTCAAAATGTTTTCTTTTTCATGTTACATATGAACACTTTAAGAACAGTAATTTAATAAATTAATTACTGCAATTAAAGTAACTATTTTGTTACAAAGAATGCAAAAACCTAGCCAAATATTCCTTTTCCTGCTTCCTTGGTATTAATTTCTGCTTGCATACCCACTTCAACAGCTGCCTTATGTTTATCAAGTCTTATTTAAGTTATAATTATCTTAAAGAAAAGGAATGTCTATTTATTTATTTTTATAAAATGGGACATAAATTCATAGTAATCTTTAAATTCTTTGTTGTAATAACAAAAAAACCCCTCCATTACTCTCTGCCACTGATACTAAAAATGTGACATTTTTATTTTGTTTAGCACAACAGTGGAGAGTGCAGATTAAAACAGATGGAGATTCCCCAGAACCACAAGAGTGTAAAAGGACCCTTGTGATTTATGGCTCAAAGGGCAAAAGTGACGAGCTTCTGCTTTCCCCACAAACCTCAGGATATGTGTGCTTTCTACCCAGAGCAACAGATGAATTCCTTGTAAGTCATAAATATACAGTACTACACAGAGCTTAA